CTAATAAAGAATATCCAAACTCCATTTCAGCATCACAAATTAGAGGTTTCTGCAAGATGCACTCTCTTCTACACAGCAATTAAACTCATATATATATATACACCTTGGTAAAGCAGAAAAAGGCCTGACATGAACAGGACAAAAACAAATTGCAATTTCTCTCTCAACACTGGAGTCTCCAGTGGATGCTGATCACCCAAGCAATGTGGTACTACTAACTGGGATCACACCCTCAACATATCTCTGAATGCCCAATGTCATTTTATTGGCCATGAGAAAGCTACAGTATTGATTGAATCCTTACATCTTATTTGTAAAGACCTTACTTAACATGTAAATCAATTCATTCATCTTTGCAACCCCCAAAGTTATTAATCCTTAACACTATATAGTGCAAACCAGCAACGCATCACAGCACTACACTACTTATATAGGCTAGTATAACTTTTGTAGCTATGAAGTTCTGACCTATCATTTCACCTTCAGAATACAAAATGTTCCCTTTTTAATTAGTGACTCGAGAAAGAAATATTTTAGTCACCAAGAGTATAAAAATACTCCGTATTCCTCTGTTCTCAACTGCGTGGGTTTTGTACAATGGCCTCTTGGCACTAGTTAGAATCTAGAGCCCAAATACTCAGTGGAAATCCCTCCCAACGTAGCAATTAGTATCCTTCTTTTACTTGACCTACATTTTAAATGTGTCTAGACAGAATTTACCACTGATAGTTTGGGGGGATGGGAGCAGAGAGGTGGGTTGGTTTCTTCAGCAGGAAAAAAAAAAAGGTTTTAGATTAATTTTTAGTCTACGTTAGAAAAATCAAGAATACATCGAGATACACTGTTATACAGAGAGATATGGAAGAGGTCCCCTGTCAGTATAAATCAGACCTGCACCCTCAAGAGCAGTATGTGAGAAGTGTGCTGCGTTGAATCAGGTGAGATCTGGCCTAAGAACCTCAGTCTAATCCATTAGTCTATGCTGCTGAAAAATATTGAATGGTACAGATGAAATGAAAGAAATGCAGCAAAGAACTATAAATAGCCCAGGGGAGAAAAACCAACATTATCTACACACTAGTAACAAGGTTAGAAACAGCACATGCCCTGTGCTTGATAGTTTTTAAATATATATATATATATATAAAATAATGCCCTACTTTCATTCATAGCTTATCTCCCTAGAAGCAAAGACCCGACAGATCTAGACATGCTTTAAAGCTACAGGCCAAAAGGTAAGTTTACTAGTGTGTATAAAACTGTGCTGACAAACACCATAATGTTACAGCTGAGGACTCCAAGTATCACTCAAGTCCTCTACTGGAAATGGAAATTAAGTAGCATGTAAGGCCTTTGCTTACCACATCCATACACACACGTTATTCTACAGCACCAAGTCACTGATCACTGGAAAAAGCACACTGGCAGAAGGCTAAGACCTCAAGTAATAGAGCTGAGCTAATTAAAAGCACTTACACTGGCATCCTCCCTGAATACACCTTAGTACTACTTCCTTATGCCCTTAACACAGAGCACATAAGCTGCCTCTGCACGTGGTGTGCAGTGCATCAACATTCACACTGGGGTCACCTCTGGGCTGCTGAGGCTGGCAGTGCAATGGCCCTGTCCTGCCTCCCCCATCCCCCTGCTAGGTACATAACATGGGCACAAACTATCTCTGGAGATAGTGAAGTCCTTGCTGCTCAACAGCCTGTGAGAAGGTGATGACAGGGGATTCCTTGGCCCCCAGTATCTAGCAGAGAAACCTGTTCTATTAAGGCCCCTGAAGAAAAATGATCACAAACATACCCAAGTGAAGTAAAGGTTTTCCTTATTATAAAGAAGTAACATGTAATACAATAAATCCCCAAGCAATGTGTGTGCTAGGTCAAGAGATTCCCCAAAAGAGTACCTAAAAATAACTTGAAGGATTACAAAAATTAAGATTATAGAAATAGATTATCAAACAGTTGCAAGAAAATTGGAATGGCCATACTGGCTTGGATGAATTAGTACTGAGGCCTGACCCAGACTGTGGCCATTTAAAATGCTCTGGATGAAAACATTACTATCTCCCAACCAGATTTGAACTGACATTCCCAAATTAAGCAAAAAAATAGGGCAAAGTTTTAACAGTGGCAAGTGCAGTACGTTTCGGAGAGGAGGGGCTGTTTTGGTTGTGCAAAATCATCTGTCCTGTGAGTATTGAGAAATAATTCCAATTTGTTTTTAAGACACTGAAGTCAGCTATATCTGCACTGGTTGGTGACCCATTTAACTGGTCATGGGCATAAGTTCAGGCAGAGAGGCCTCCTGCTTATATGCACAGTACAAACTGCAAGACTAGTAAGTGGTATTGCACTCCTCAGCTTGGAACCTCTTCTGCAGAACATTTAGCCACCCAGTTGCCCTCAGAGGTGGCAAATCATTGGTGCTCTGGAAAAAAGAAGACCATCTAAGGAATTTCCTAAACTATGACCTTGCGCACTTAACGCTGACCAGCCATAAGGTAATGGAAGGGTCAATTCCAGCTTTCTCCTGTCACTTTGCTGACCTCAAGTGGCTGAGCAATGCAGCCATCCCTTGTGGCACCCACCGGTGGTCACTGTTTATGTGAGGCCTTAAACCATTCAAAAAGAAAAAACAGAATCATACAAAAGTTGTTGATAGATACTGGAATGATTCAGAGGACCCAGGAGGATCACTGTGAAGGGAGACAGACTTTAGGGCAGTGATCGACCCATGCCAAGAAGGGAACAGTTGCAACACAGACTACAACAGCACTTCCCCTCTTGCTGCCACCTCAGGTAAAATAATAAAAAGGCACTTGCATAGAAGAATAGGGCATTACATAGAAAGCACATCTGTACATCAAAACTCATTACTAGCTCATGGAGTCAGGCACATGTTTCACTGTCACTAATGTGAAACACCTTCTTAAAATGGCACAATGGGAACTGATCCACAGTCCCCTGCAATTCGCCAAATACTTTCCATTCATTTCTCTGAGTTTTGAGTCAGGCCTGAGGATGGCAAATAGGGAAGAAAGTCTAAGGAGAACAAAGAACAAGAAAGGAGCTGGTGTGATAGCTGCAGTATTAAAATACAAATCCAGTATTTTACAAAATAGAATACTTGCAGGAAATATCTACTGTACATAGTAAAAAATTACTTGTAAGGCTAGGTTAGTTTTTCCCTTATTTATCATTAGGAAAAAAATAAAAGAAAAAAGAGCTTCAAATTCGTTTTTTTTCTAATTGACTTCTTTTGGTAAACTGTAAAGTAGCTATGCTAGCCTGCTGAATTAGGATTTTCACATTAAATCCATCTCAATGGAGCCTGAGTGCCCTTCTGTAGGAACCAGATAAAACCCTGCTCAAATCCTGGGGTAAGTTCAACTATGCCACTGCAAGGACAAATTGCAAGAAGCACAGCTCCAGCAAAGGCATGACCAGGGTACTGAAAGAGAGAGGACACTTAAAAGACAACAATGACACAGGAGAAGGAGGAAACAAAGCAGGGAGAAGACTACTGGACCAGGATAAGACCTGAATACTGCTCTTGCCTTTTCCACTGAAGTCGGGCCAGTCACTTCACCTCCCTATGTGCTCATCTCATCCCTCTATTCACAGGTCTCCTGCTTACATAATCAACTCCTCAGGTCAGAAACTGCCTTGCCATACAGCTAATACAGTATCTACCACCTCCAGGCCTGAACTGTGCCTACCTGGGGCTACCTATACTCCTGTCTTTTCAACAAAGCAGTTAGTCTAAGATCACATCTCTGGAAAAGGAGGTAAGAGGAAAATAAGATACATGGCTTTATTTTAGAACAATTCAAGTTTAAGGGGAGGGAATGGGTATTCAGTAATATTTGTGTGTTAAATTTTAGAGTTTGCTCAGATCACCTGCAGAGTTAAGGGAAGCTCAATTCTCTTCATTGCAACTGCCTGAGCAAGAGTTTGCAAAGCTAATAAATACTATTTACAACAGTAACAGGAAGATGTTAAGGAAAGGAAAACACAAGACAATCTGAGACTGAGTCTACATAAGAAATTCCGTCAATGCATCTAGAGGCCAATAAATTAAATCCATATCGTCCTCTCAGGAGGCACTTATGGTTTAAGCCTTACATTGATTCAGTTTGTTGGGAAGGAACTGATACAAGCTAAATAGATTAGCCTTAAGCAAACTAAAGGGCATCCATCTAAAACATTGCATAAATTTAACAAAATCTGCTTTCTAAACAGATTTAGTTAAACTAGTGTAGTTCTCTCACACAAAGTGTGACAAGACAGTGACTGATCTTTGCTTAATTTCTCAAGGGTGGAAGCAGGGAAGCCTACCAGAACTGCTTTCAACACACAGAGAAACCTACCCCGCTAAATGATAAAGGAGAAGAGAAAGAGCTAGAGGAGGACAACTCAGCACCATCATTGCCCACCCCTCTCCTGCCTGTGTTCTGAGCTCAGCAGTCTCAGGGCCCTTTCTTGTCCCTTCAGAAGCAGGCTAAACTCATGCTTCTCAATCCCCATAAAAGGCTCAAGTGCTATAGACCAGCAGGCACAGAGCTGTGATTAGATTCTGAGCACCATCATGCTGCACCTCCTCTCCCTCCCTCAGCTACCTTCTCCCAAGAAAACTATCACCCACGTGCTCCCGTTGGTTTTGCATATTTCACTCTTCTACAGAATGCCTTTGTGCTCAGACCAGGCTGTGTGCATGTGGCACACACACCCACCAGTCACTGGCACACTGCTGGCATCATCTGCCATCATAATTCAATCCTGCCCTTGCAGTATTAGACAGGAAAGGAATAAAAGCAAAGACAGGGACTGTGTGCGAAGTGAGGAAGGGAGTTACAAAGACAAGAGATCCCATCTGTAGTCACAGCCTCACCAGTCAATGCAGAAGTTGAACTCCCTCTCTTTTGTACTTTGGTTCACTGAGGATGACAAGTCAGGGGAACTTTGGTTGAAAAGATGTGGGAAAGAGGGAAGTCAAGAAAAAAAGGCCTTTTTTATTTTTAAGAGGTGGCATTGACTCTTCTGTCTATTTCAATTATCTTCAGTGTTTCATTTCTTTCTAGTTCGGAGTTGACTCTGTAGGGAACAAAAATACCAAAACAACAAAGGTTAACATTAACAGTCATTTTTAAAAGTTCGTATCCTGCTCAAATTGGCTAATGCTAAAAAGACACTCAGTATTCACCAGGTACTTGTCAGCTGGAGTCTGGTAACACATTGAATTAGTCATCTCTTTGGCTCTAGGCATAATTTCGACACAAGTGCTCAGAAGACATACTTGGGGTGATATGGCTGATCCTAGCCCTCATAATAGCATGCTGCCAAACAAAATCCCTCTCTCCACTGTTTGGTGGGCTTGCTACTGCTTGTTAGCAGAGACTGAGACCTGGGCCAACAGGACAGTGGCAGGACAAGAAAAGGTGTGGTGGAAAGAAAACTGCATATACATCTTTAAATCAGTGAATCTCTTTCTTTTCAGAGGCCCCAAAACCTTAGATTTAAGTTAAAAAAAAAGGAACTCAGTGTAGGAACTTAAGCCGTCCGATAAATTTACATGTCAGTCTCTTAAGACTGAGTCCCGGAAACTTCCCACAGTAATGCTTTAGTAGGATCACTGTTGTGAGAAGCTCCAGCTCTTCACACCCTAACCTCATAGAAAGCCCAGTGAGTCACAACTTCACACTACCACACAACTGGTAAAAGCTTATTCCTTTAGGGGACACACAAGTAAGTGCTCAAAGAAGTGGGTAGGCAGAACTAACAAGCTTACGGGGTTTAGGTTTCTGGCAGAAGTAGAGAGTTCAGTAGCTGTATTACAACAACAATGTGGCAAACACTTCTCCAGAGTAACGATGACTTTGCCTATAGGCTCTCCAGATAAAAACCAAACTCCTAGTTCATGTTTTACGGTGCCCAGCACAGCTGATCCACTGGTCTTACTTCTGGCCTTCAGGCACAATGACAGAACACCAGTATGACAAGCAGCCCACCCTGCACTCACCTGTGCTGCTGCAGGCCCAGCAGCACTGATTTCTCTAGCCTTGTCTCGTTGGCTATTGTGAACTGCATGATGTCATCCTGCTGTGTCCCTGACACAGCTTCCAGGGACAGCGTTGCGTACTTGGAGGTGTCTGTTTGCCTGTCATTGCGATCTGCAAAGGAGATCGGGCTTGACGACTCCTCCAGTTGGTGAGGCTCTTCATAAATTAGCAGACTCCTTGACCTCACTACATACAAAGAGAGAAGGCAAAAAGACATGAGAAACAGGCAGGTCAGAGAACAGCCCTGGTTATTTCAGGAAATGGAGACTGTCAGAGCAGAGCTAAAGCTGCAAAGGGCTTTTCTTTCCATAGTGATTAACTGGCAGTTTGATAGCTGAAGAAAGAAACCACAGGAATGGTCCAGGCAGGGATCAGAAAGCCCTAAATTATTCACAAAACAAGAATAAAATTAAATAATCACTCTGATAATATACTGGTTCGTTATAGGTATATAATACTAACACTTTCCAACTCAGTCCTTGGAGTCTGCTGACACTGGCAAAGGAAACACCAACTGATACCAGTTGTGCATTTTAACAGTATGAACATTTCCTATTGAGTAGAAACCCTACTACTTTTCACAAACCACTAGCTTTAGTTCCAGAAGTACCAAGCAAGCTAGTGGGGAAAAGGCTTTGCCCATGTTTATGAGGTCTGCTGCCATCAGCACAGTCTACCAAGCTATCCTTCTTTGTAAAACACAGTTATATATAAAAAAATGGCCAGTCAAGAAACAGAAAAGCAAGAGGTGCTTGAGAAGGGGGTTAGGAATAGGTAGGGAAAAGGTAGGAAAACAAGTGCCAAAGTACAACCAAGCAAGGAGCAAGACTGGAATAGCTGTCACTTACCAATGGAATCTGTGTAGGACTCTGGTGAGGAATGCTGCCTGGGCAACACCATCTTTGTAGCAGAAGGATATGGCCCATAGCTCTGAGAGAAGCTGCCAAAAACTACTGCAAAGCACAGCACCACCATCTGGCAAAGGGAGGATGCAGAAGAGGTAAGTGCACTAGGTCTTGACCCATGTGCACACATCAGAACTAACACTTTATCAAAACAAACCATTTGAGGCCATTTTCATCACTATATACAGGGTCTCTTAGCAAAGGCACATATACAATAGCAATTCAGTGTTTTAAAGGGCACATTTCAAACCTGGAGTTTGTTTTCAGTGTCTGCCACCATTCTGACCAGCTGCCTTATTTACTCAGAAAGTTGAAAAGCAGACAAAGCTGCCATGTGTGTTTTACAGATACTGTCAGGAATTTCCCGATAGGTTACTTCTGCTTGCCCCAGTCTTGCTTCAAAGTGACAGCAAGGCTAACAGATTAGGAGAACAGATTAGGCCTTGCAAATACTTTCCATCAATTTATACCACTTTAGATATAAAGGGAACTCGCTGGCTGAGTATAGGTAGGGAAAAGGGAAATGTTTCATTCTACTAATTTTCTTATCTTGACTACTATTACTGAAATGAACAGAGGTAGATTTACAGCCTCAGTTATATTTTGACTTGGTTGAGCAAGTTTATTTTTACTGGTGACAAAAGAACTGAGCATCAAAAGTCACCTTCGTTTTCATTTTACAACCCTAGACACCATTTCTCACACACAATACTGCAGTAAATAATAAAGTGGGTCACTTGGAGGAGCAGTCCTCCTTCCTTCATCAGTGCAGCACCCAACCAAAAGCACAGGTCCAGTCTCCTCCAGAATTTAGTCCCTTCCCAAGTCTCACCTACCTCAAAATTAATTGTCAAATCATGAAAAGGAGTTTCCCAAGCTGCAAATTTGCAACTGAGAGGCTTTGCAGAGCAAGGGATGTGCCTCTGAGCAATGGAAAGAGATTCTCATCCCCTTACAATTCCCATTATTAGGGACACTCACCATAAGACAGGTCCCTGTCTGTGTGCTAGCTGCCTTACATGAACGGGACACTTTGCCAGCAACCATGGCTTGGAGTCTCTGCAGCTGCTGCAGAAGTGTTCTGGAAAGCAAAGACAACAGACAAGAATCACACACACTGCCCCTCTTGTTGGTTAAATAGCATTTTGTTTCAAATTCCACACCTGGCCAATAATACAGCATTTGTGACAAGGTAGAGATAATTTAAGTCCTCTCCTTGAAATTACTAGCAAGGAATGGTTTTAATTTTACAAAGTTTTTACATGTATTAATGCTGGAACTTTCAAAAAGATCTTTTGTTTTTCCCTCAACTGATGTCCCTGAACACTTTCTTCTTTAGTACTTTTAGAAAGCTCTTGTAAATAAAAATTGTGTTTTCAGTGTTTCTACAAGAAATGGCTCCAGTGAGCACATTAGCAACTGAAACTGCTCTACACACAAGTGACCAGATGCATATACAACCTGATATGTCATGAATTCAGCAGGAGTTTTGCCATTATTTTTAAAGGTGCAGAAGTGAGTTTATAACTGCTCTAGTTGGTGATTGAGGTACCTCCTTTTCTCAAAAAACCTATTTAGTGGTTTGGACCACATGCTGGAACATTTTTAAAGAGAAGGTCTTAAAACTGAACATGGGCACAGACTTCATTTCTCAAATTCATTTATTAAATAAAACACTTTATTGCTATTTGCTAAATCCTCCAGGAGCCGACAAAAACTGCAGATGCTTCAAGTGGCTACTCTGACTGTGTCTTTCAGAGGTCCCAACCACAATGACAATTCTCTTGTGGCTGGAGTCAACAGTCCTAGACCAGCAGGATATTCTTCTGTCTTTCTGGTTGGCTTTTTTCTGCTGTAGCATCAATTACTACATTCAGAATATCACTCATTTAAATGGGAAATTATCTCAAAGTATGATTGCTACAGGGATTTCACAGCAGTTTTCACTGAAGCGTTTTAGCAAATAAGGAACAAACCAAATGCCTGTCCTTGACACAAACATAGTACAATTTTGTACCAAGTTGTTAAATTTGCTGTCCGTTTCCAACTTTACTTGTCACTTCTCCTGTAAGTCTCACAATCTCTTGTGGAGGATACCCCAACAGAACTCCAGGCAACAGTTTTGGAAGCTGTGACGTCAAACGCTAAAGCAAGAGGCGAGGTCAGCATGTCAGAGAAAATAGAAGGATTATTTTAAGATCAAACTGGCTAAAAGCTAATTGTAGGACAGACCCAGAGGTGCCTTCCCAGCTCAATATACACTGGTCTGCCTATTATCACAGATTTTTTTAATCATCAATGCTCATTGCTAATTAGGGCTTAATGAATTCAAGGACTTCAGGAATACATTCTGAAATGAGCACAAGGCATTCTCACAGCACAGATTTATCTGGGCCAGCAGATCCTTCTCAACTTATTAAGGAAGGATGTCTTGCATGCTCTTGAGAGCATGGCTTATCCTGCAACTCTTTAAAAAAGGAAAGCAATACACCTAATTCAATCCTTTACTCTCTATTAGAGAGACCACAGACAAATTAAGAGATATAAACAGTGTCCACAATGTAAATGAGACCATCCCAATTTCCTTCTCCTTTTTGCATCTCTCCCCAGCTCCCCCTCACATCCGCTGCATGGCATGGGGTTCACAAAGACTTGAGTACAAAGTATACATCATTTTCTGGCACAGAACATGCTGCATGCAGTATTCCAACCACGTGCCATGAGCTATGCTATACAGCAGTGCCCTTTTAACCCTGAAATTTCTATGCTATCACAGAAGACTAAACCTTCCCCCCGTTTCAGGCTTGAACCACTGGGCTCAACACAGAACAGCTCTGAGGAATGAGGAGGAAGGAGCTCTCCTCCTCCTCAGCTCTGGGGCTGGCAGCAGCAGCAGCCTTGAAATGCTGATCATTCTTGCCACTTTTGTGGAGGCGTCAGTGAGAAAACAGCTAATGGCTGGTGAGGAAATCAACAGAGAAGAGGCAATTTTCCTTATTTTGCTCATCTCTGCCTTTTTGCGTCCAATTTAAAAAACCTGTTGGGCAGAGTGGGCCCAGAGAGCTGATTCCAAAGCAGTCTCCTTCTGGAAAGTATAATTAGGCAGGTATTCTGAGGTCTCCTGTACGCAGAGGAAGATTCATCCCACACCTCATTTACCAACTACCTTCACATAAAATGCCTTTCTTCCCCAAGTCATTTATCTGTTTGAGCAGAGCTACTGTCTTCTTCTCAACAGACAAGGACTCAGTGTTTGGAGCTGGCAGGATACAGATGCATTTGCAAACTATGAGCAAGAACTAAGGCAAGAGCAAGAAACAAGTCTGATCAGAGATGATACCATGTTATCCTGCCACTGCCAAAATGGAGCACTCCTTGGTGTTTTTATTCTCTATTTGAATCTGGAATGGTGGAAGACTAGAGTCTGAGGTCAAAAGATTCCCAAGGAAAAGCTTTTTACTGGACAGTTGCAGGGATGATCTGGACCAAGAGAGGGAAAAGGGAACAGGGACTGCAGAATAGGGACTTATCATAAACTATGGTGCTCCCTCTAAATAGAAGCAGAAAGACCACAAATGCTTTTAGTGGAACACACTGCCTATGGCTAAGTCCTAACAGGAGAAAATACAAACCCAAGGCAGCATGCTAAGGGGGTTTGCACCCACAGGGATTATTTTCACTGTGTCTGACACATTTCTCAGGGATATTCAATTAGAGGGTCACCTCCGTGGGAGGTGTGAGCGTGTTTTCACGCTTTTCTCTGCCAATGGAAGCACCTCATAGGAAAGCTGTAAAGTGACTGAAGACTCCTGCTCTTCCTTCCACACACTGCCAGCAAATTCACTCTGCCTGTGATGTCTTATTTTCCTGTGCACATTCACATATATTCATCTTCAGAAGAGGCCCTTTCACTACCAAAGTAAGAGCAAGTCAAGGCTTCCCCTCTGCTTCCAGTGACACTGTGATTAAGGAGAGAAAATTTGTCACTCCAGGAAATAGTCACCTGGGAGGCTTCCTCAATTCAATGTTTATGTTTAAAATCCAACATCAATTCAAAGAAAAAAAAAGACATTTTCTAGGGGACATCAAACACTTTATGTTAATCAAGAGTTTTCAGAGAATTGTTCCTACTTTGTGATTCTGATAAGGAGAGAGAAAAATTATTCTGTCTTCTAACTCTACACAGAGATTCCTATTTGTAGGAAAGAGGACAAATCCCAAAGTAAGGTTTTCACCGAAAGACCACTTAAATCCACCATTTTGTTTCACTTCCATTACAAAGAAAATATCCAGCAATTTTCCATGGAAGACGCTTCAGCATGAAAACCAATGTCCTACTGCTTTGAAAACAAGGAGTTGCTCCAGGGCTGCCATGTTTTGTCAACTATTATAAGGGTGGTCTGAAATTAAGTACAAGATATGTCATTGCAACTTAAATCTAGATCCTTCACCCCTTGAACGTGATTTGGTAAAATTACTTCACCAGCCTCAAATAAAGGGACAGCCAAGCAAATCAGTGCAGTCTGGCAGCTTTGGTGCTGATAAACCCTTGGTGGGTCAGAGTGATGTGCAACTTGATCTTTAGATGACTGGGAGCTGCAACAGTTTGGGCAGGAGCATGAGAAATGGGAGAACATCCCATTTGTATTTATAAAGCCACTGCCTTTAAAGGTGCCTGTCATAGTGCAGGTCTACAAAGCTGGTTTGTGTTATTCCACAGTAGCAACTCTAGCAGCTACTTGCATGTATTGTCCATGCATGTCACTCTCAACCTCATCCTATGTCTATCATGTCTCCAAGAAAAGGGATCATCAGTATATAAATCCAGACTCAAGAGAAGCAAAAGTACTTCTCAACACGTTATACACAGCACCAGATATTTCAATACTGTCTTTAAGCCCAAAGAGCCGCTAAACAACGCTGGTGTCAGAGAATGTATTCAACCCTTTGGATGACTGGTAGCCTTTGGTCTTGGTGCCAAAATGTGAGTGGACCAAGCCTTCCTGGTAACTGGGACAAGTCAGTTCAATTCTCAGGGCCAGCTTCTTCTCACACCCTTTGCTTTCTAAGACGGCAGTGCCCACATGTTCAGATGCTACTCAAAACAATCAGACTCCGGCTCACTTGTGGCTACAAGACACAACAGATATGCATGTAATAATGTGCTTCCTTAGTTTTGAGAAAACTGCCTAGGAAGGAACTTGGATGGGTTTCTTTTAAAGGACTGAGTCATACAAACTAGGAGAGGTAACATATGTTAGTGTTCTAATACTAAATCTGACAAAAATGCTGCAGTCACCCACTCACAGTAATGAGAATTAAAAACTCTCCTGCGTCTTGATCCCCAGCCTCCTGCCTTGCCTTTTAAGGTGCATGAATGCCAAGGGAGATGCTCCTGGATGCAATTTTTTTGACCTTTCACATTACATCTTTTCAGATCCAGAATTTCAGGCTAAGGCTGGCTATCAAAGAAGAGTCATCTAAATTTTTTCATGTTACTAAGAGTAATGAAGGAACATTTTTTATCAGAAAAAAATTCTAGTGTTTCCATGGTTTGGAGCCAGATTTTGAAATGCAAGCAGGGTTTCCCTGAAGTCTTAGGTATTTATCTGTGCAAATATGTTCTATATATAGAATAACATGCTCTAAAAATCAGATTACACATACTGAAAGGCAACTGCTATTCAATAGTTGTATGTTTTGGAAATTGCCCTTCATTTCCTCTCAAAACCAGCCAGACTATACAAACATGATACTGACTGACAGCACATAGGTGTTCATGAACTTTTAGGTAAGCAGCTATAGCCCAATTTTCCAACAAGGGAGAAATCCAACTGTGTCTTTATCTGTACTTGAATACATTAACATTTAACATGTAATCACAACTCTTATTTTCCTGTTATCTTTCTTGCACTATTACAATTTTTCACAATGAAAGAACAGGTCTAATGTTTGCGGATCAACTTTTAGATAATATGTTCAATAATTTCTTCATTTTTTACTGCAATGAACACTCGAAGTTACAACTACAGTCAGCTAGTGCTCTGCTTTGGGCATATTAAATAAGATACATGTGTGCATAACTGTGCTACATACTTTGAGAAATAACATCCTAAACATATAAATTTGGGCTTCTGACACAACAAACTGACAGTGCATAATTTTGACCACCACTGCTCTGAACTTTGACTCCTGACTATACATAGAAGATGAAAGTACCAGCTATAGGATGCTGTGAAGACAAGTTCTGAAACATGTGAAAGGTCTCTGGATGTCATGTCAAGGTCCTGTGCAAATACCAGTAAGGAAATGAGACATTTTGAATTCATTGTAAGATGTGGATAATATACATTAAACAAGGGCCTGGAACCATTCTTTGAATGAGACAGTTGCACAGTTATACAGTAAATAAAAAAAGTGGCTCTTTGGGGTTTAAGATGAAAAACCCCTTAATATGGTATGTTACAAAATTGAGGCTTGATGAAAGCAGGCACTTTAACAGCATTGCCATGATTACAAGAATTTCCGTGCAGAGGGAAGAATATCTGCTGCTCTGCAAGAGACTACAGATCAATATCAATGCTATTGCAGAGGGCAGGAAACAATGCAACTCATCCCACATGACCAAACTATGAAGGATCCGGAGATAATATCACTTATCTAAATATTTTTAGAGCATTTAGCATGAAAGAATTAAGATAATCAAATAAGAGAGAGAATGCTAAAGGTCCTTTCTAAAAGGATGGACAATACCAACAAAGCTGTTCTCATAAGTGCTTCCTCAACAACTCAGAGAGGAAAACAGCCGGCCAAATTTATCTGAAATGGGGAGAACAGCTCCAGGCTTGACAACGTGCTGTCCTCAAGTGGATAATCTACAGCTGCATCTTTCCTTAGAGAAGTTGGCTTCAGCACCTTCTGGGACAGATCCTGGGAGAGACATCCCTACTCCACACCTACAGAACAATTCCTGGTTCTTTTATGTGAAACTGTGGAGGACGATACAAGAGGCACAGAAATGGCTTGGCTCTCTTCAAACAAACAGCAGATGTCTTTATGCATGAGCAGTGTGTGGGAGAGGCTCTCCCACAAGTTACAGTGCTACAGGGTCTGGCTCCCTGAAAGTAGAGATTGGATCCAGAGATTAGAAACAACACATGCCACTCAATTAGCAATATATTGGCTGCCAGATAAGCTCTAGGGCCATTTTCCATGATTGTGGGTCTTATCTTCAAAACCCAGCCTCCTCCCACACTTCAGTGTCACCATCACGTTCACTGGTAACATTCAACCATTACTACAAATGCCTCTAAACTAGAAGGTGTTAAGAGTGGGCTTATCTAGTGTCTACTCATCGGAATTTGCCACACTGAGCATAAGCCACGACTGACACTGCACTCTCAGCTAACATCCAATTAAAAGATCAGCTCTTTGACATTTTCTGCCATGTGTCCTTTGAGAAAGCCACCACTGAGTCACCCGCTTCTTCAGAAATGAAGCAAGAAGGTGATTTTCCCCTCCAAATGAAGGAAATTCTGGGGTGTGAGATGGTTAGAAGGGTGCACAATAATTGCAATGACATCTAGTAGTGCAGAGGGAACTAATAAAGACTCTTGACCTTTGGCACTGTAATTTCTGGAAGTGTCATGTTCCAGGTCAAGGTCTCCCGGCAAAATTTCTCTAAATAAAGAGAATTGGGAGAGTTGGACTGCAGTTTTTTGTTTGTTTTGAGTCACTAACTAGCTTCTTTAGAGCTCTTCTGTTGGGCAGTGAAAGAACTCTGAGAAGTGCTAAAAGGTTCCCAAGCACTCCACAGGCTAAGGAGACAGTTTAAGACATGACATCAAAGCCCCCATGCTTTACATCCCACTGCAGTCACAACAACTGGCTCTCCTCATCTTCCTCTGGCATTAACCCCATCAGATACAGCTATTGTTCACATTTCAGTTGATCTCTTAACCTCCAGATTTTCCAGCTTCACTGTAATAACATTGCTATGGTTTTGTTTGATTCCCTTCATACCTTACCTGTTAGTATTCTCCAGGACTTCAACCTTCTTACGCAGCTCACTGTTTTCGTTTGAACAGGTCTCAACTCTGGAGACAGCACAATGAAAGAGGATTGTAAAAAAATCAGTCATTTATTAAAGCCATTGCAAAACAAGCCAAACTTGCTTTCACAGAGAGCTCTGTGATCTTGCCTACATCTTAAAAGATACTACTAGCTGGGGAGCCCCTGCTTACAGTGCTCAAATACATCCCACTAGGTGCAGCTCATTCAGGATGGGCTGTAACTACTTTTTGTCCCTTGAAATAGCATAGCAAAGATCCTGCTCAGACTTTCTCTGTGCATTGGGCCACAGGATAGATACTTTAGAAGTCACAGAACGGGTTATATTTATGTTGTTAGCAAGTGTTTTGTGCAAAGGCACCCAAAAATCCCATGCTTCTGAAATCAGACCCTCAAATTTCAAATTTATGAGGGCTAATAATCCAGGAGACTACAGACAGTGCTCAAGATTGTCCTAAGACAGTACTCATTTCCACATTGTCCCTGGAAATCCCTTAAACTAAAAGAGATTGTAATATAACTAGGCACCTAAGAGGTCCAAGTAAAAATATATGACTCCCAAAAAGACAAATATGACCATTCTGAATAGCTCCAAGAAGAAAAAAGGTAAAGGGAAATAGCTTTGATATCTGTATGCATGGGATGGAATTTCATAAGAGTAACTCTAAGGAAGTGAGACATGGCTATAAAGAGACAAGAAAAAAAAGGGAATTACATCAAGGATATCACCAAAGATGGTACAAGGGTTTTAACAGAACCATCTGGTGAATTGCATAAGAGTAATACTAGAATACTTGTCTCTTGGAAGAAAGAATAATTTGGGATATAAATCACTAACTGGGGGTTTGGCTACTGCTCACTAAGGGAAGCTGATGGGTCACATGCTATTTTCCTGAGTCCTGCTTGTTTTCCCAGGCAGTCCTGACTCACCCACTTCCTATGTCTGTTTTCATCTGCATTAGAAGACAGAATATTCTTACTCCGAATCCACCTTTCCCTGGACAATGCCTATCCACACAGTTGCATGAGGTGAAGGCCAATAGCAGTTGGGTCTTGCCTTATTTAAGGTGTAAAGTGTTTGCTGGCACTGTTAGGCATGTGCTGCAGGCAGGCACAGTTCTGACCCTGGACAAGCAGCAGCCAGGACCAGGGCCTTTTCTCAGTCACAGCCACGAGATGGCAGCTGGCACTCTGTGCACAGAACCATCCCAGCATCCACAGCTGGATCCCTTCCCAGTCCTGCAACTAGTGCTATTGGCCCGCTTGAAACAGGAAGGAGGCTGGCTTACTTTTTTTCCAGACTGTCCATGTATTCTTTCTTTTTTCTTCTACTTTCCTGGGCAGAGATCTAAGGAAAAAGGAAGAAAAACAACAAATATTTGCATGGAGGGGGAAAGGCATAAAAAATGAATTAATAAACTGATAAAAAGCCTCAACGTTATTAGATGCAAGCCTCCGTGTTCTCATTTCTATTCCTGGCAAGCAAAGCACTGACTGGATCTGTTTCCGCATTCTGAAGCAAGACTGCTCCTCTCAGTCATAATAAAAAAGATCATTCCTTGCTAACCTTAAAAAGTAAATCAGATTCATTCTCATCTGGAGATAATATCCTAGGACAAATACTAAAAGATGATCCCAGGACAGTGCCCTCCATTTGGGAGAGGAAAAGTCTGTGAATGTGTTAGAAAGCAGCTCTGCAGACAAAGACTTGGGGTCCTGATGAGCAAGTCAAACATAAGTCAGCAATGTGCCAGCCCCTGTAGCAACAGCGGCCAAACAAATCTGGGCCTCCATTAATGAGATTTAGGTAGCAGGTCAAGAGAAGTGGTTCTTCCCCTCTGTTCAGTGCCTGCAAGGCCACAGTTGAGTACAGCCTGCAGTTTGTGGCTCAGAAACAAATACTTTGGATGCACAGAAGCGAGCCCAGAGGCAGACCACTGCTATAATAAGCCCTCCAGAGCACGTGACATTTCAGGAAAGGCAAAGAAAGCCGGGTTTGTTCAGATTGAAGAAGAGAAACCTAAGGAGGGAATCCTATTGCTGCCTTCAGCAACTATCTCACGTAGCAAAGATGATGTCAGACTCATCTCAGAGGTGTACAGCAAAATGGCAAGAGGCACCAAATACAAGTTGCAGCAAAGGAAATTCCAGTTACACATTAGGGATTCTATTTATCTGTTTTTACCACAAGAGTAGCCTAATATGGGAACACATTGCCCAGAGATGCTGGAGGCTCATCACCCTTTGAGGAAGTAAAACGTGACAGGACAAGTCTCTGAGCAACTTACTCTAAGCTGACCCCGCTTTCCAAGCCAGGAGTTGAACCAGAGGACTTCCAGAGATCCCCTCCAACATAAATGGCTCTGATTCTTTGAAAGTGGTACATAAAATCCACAAGATAATTTCCAAAAATTTTTTAAAAATACATTACAAGACCAAATTCCAATTCAGTGCAGGCAAATTTACACCTCTATCTGCAAAATCAGTAACAGAATATAGTAACCTTCAAAGATGTGATAAAATCTCTAGAACAAGTGAGCTGGCCAGGTTTTAAAATAAGTTGCATTCTTCTCTAACACTAGGCTCTTCCGCATGCCGGAACCAAAAAAACCAAAAAAAACTTGTAGGGCATTTGACAGCCTTGGTATCAACCATTCATTTACAGGTCATTGAATTCAGTGATCAAAAGACTAGTGCACTGAAATACAAAATCATATTTTAAAACAGGAAACAGAAAAGAAAACCTTCATCGCCACGAAAAGAATAGAGGTCTTTGCCTACCATAAGGGCAGGATTGTACTGTTTTTTAAATGGAGCCAAGCCACAGCAACTTGATACCTTGCCTGCTAAATACTCCATTGTTAATGGGTTCAGGTAAATACCTAGACTGAGGCACGCTGTCAGAGTGACAGCCAATTTGATGGATGTGGTTAGGAACAAAGAAAAGCACTTTATTAAAGGACAACTTAACAGCATTCAACAGTACCACACACCACTACTGCAGAATTCTGCAGCATTTTTTAAAATGAGGGACAAGTAGGAATCACCCAGCAAAGCTCACTAACATTTACCTTGTTTTTTATTTTCCTGCGGATTTTCTTTAGCACTTTCTCCTCTGCTTTTGTCAGGGGCAGTTTGGTAGGGATTGGGTAGCCCTCCGCTACCAGTGTCCTCTTCTCCTCCTCTGTCAGGATGAGGGGGCCAGTCCCCTGTAGTTTCTTCAAGGATGATAAAAATAATATGTTACAGTAAGTGCATAGAGTCCTAGGAAAAAGGTTGTTAAGGAAGAGAAGCAGCAGCTTTCCCATTTCAGAGAGGACTGTGCCTACTTGAAGAACAGCCTCTTGCCATTGGGAATGTGTGGAAGACCCTCTAGATAACTTCCACTCAGGGACCAAACCTTTGGGACAGGATTCCCTCAAAACAGTTTTTCTTGGTTGAGCTCTGTACACACTGAGGCCAACAGTAAAACTCTCCTTGGCTCAAACAGGAAAGAGACAAATGAGAAGCACTAGTGAAAATCCCTCCCTAAAGATCACCCTTTGCTTTTGACAAGAAGACAGATGCAGATCTACCAGAGACAGGTTAACCCAGCAGGGCTGGACCCTAAGGCAAAACACAGTCCATGGTGGGATAAACCTAATAACACTATTGAACTCTGTGTCAGCTTAGAGGAGAGGCACATACTGTTCTCTGTGGGAACAGAGCAGACCAGTGAGCAAGAATTACTGGATCTGCAGTTTTGACCAGAGATGAATTCATCTAAAGAACAGCAGAAAGTTAGCAAATCCATGTCAAAACCAGTAATTAAAAAAAAAAAAGAAAAAGAAAAACAGAGAGACACACAGGCAGAGAGATGCTGTAGAAAGCCAGCCCAACTTACATGTGGTGCCGTCAGGAGAGGGGAATTGGACAGTACTGAAGCTGTGCGTGACGCAACTTTAGCCGTGGCTTGTAGCTGGATTGGGCTTGAAGGAGGGAGTGATCTGGCTGGGCTCTGCCCTCCTTCAGAGTCACTGCCATGGCTGCTGGGGGGAGTTGGAGGCAAATGCAGGGGATCCACTGCTAAAGGGCAAGAGAGACGTAATGTAACACAAGGTTTTCAGGTGCTAATTTAAATTGCCACTAGAGCCGCCTCCACCACCACCCCCCGGTTTCCAAGACTAGGAATGTCTGCTAAAAAATGGGTCAAGCAAAAGTGGCAACTTGGAAGACGTTCAGAGCATGCAGGTCTCCAAAGGAGGAATGAAATGCAGCAGCTGTCTTTAGGTTCGACAGACAAAACAGGGCTCCGTGCATATGCTGCAGTCATTTCTACCTACACTTCAGCCTCTTCCTCAAATGATCTGAGGTTTAAGTATAACCTAAAGTACAAGTTCCCTGTTCCTGAGAAACCACATTAACAGAGGGGCTCTGAGCCAGCACACTTTCTCTCCAAAAACAACAGTGTTTTCTAACTCTGCTGTGGATTAAACAAATTGACAGTATTTTTCATGGGAAGAGATCACATCCAAGATGTTAAGTGATAAGGGAAGAGAGAAAGTCTTCCTAAGGACTTGGTTTGGCCCAACTGGGAAGAAGTGACTGACAACCTTGTGATAGTAAAGGCTTCAATGTACTAATGGAGCAGGAGCAGCATAGGCAGCCACCACAGGAACCTCTCTCACGCTGTCCTAAATTCTACTGCACTTCTACACAAAAGAACCTATGCTAGAGTTGGCAAGCAAAGTTCTGCTTATGACCAAACGGGTCTGAACCTACTGCAGATATGTCTCACCTATTCTCCTTGCATGGACAACTTAGCAGATGTCCAAACCAGCCATAATTAAGTCATTTTTTTCTCTTACCTAAATTTACAGCAATTAAATTTTGAAGTAGGAAGATACAGGCTAATTTGCCACCTTCCACTTCTGTTATGCTTTGCAAATTTGAGTTGAAAAGATCAAATGGGTGGTGAGGGAGGATGGAAGAAAAATAGTAACAAAAAAAGCTATAATACTTTTTTTGTCTCACATCTTAACTCTTGCAGTTGCCAGAAGAAGAAACATACTTGAAAAACAGCAAGGCCCTTAATCCCTCAAACTGAGCAATCAGATCTACACCCTGGGTTGAGATATAGCCTCTACCTGCTACATCACTTGCTTCTCTCCCTAGAGCAGTACTATTTACCTACAGAAGTGAATCTACTAACAGAATATCAAGTGTTCCTAACTGAAATGCAGTTATCTGCTCAGATTTCAGGCCAAATATTTGGCTCTTTCAAAGTTTTCTCGTCTTTAACAGATTATGGGCTGCAAAACTGTGTTTAACTTTCAGGGCAAGGATCATTGCTCCTCCTTCCTTACTTATAGCTCAGTGCAAAGAGATCCTGGTTGTTCTTAAAACTAACATGCTACAAACAGATTCACCTAACTTTTATTTTCCTATAAACTCACATCCTTGCTTTTGTATTAGAAGTTAACGGTAAAGTTTCCACTTACACTCTTCATGTTTCCTATGCCTTAGTTGTCTCCTCAAATTGATTTCTTTTCTATCCTAAATAATCCTGTACTTTAAGAATTCGAGCTCCCTTCACTACAATTATTAATACCCTGCAGACAAAAAGGGATCATTTTCTTTGTGATGAACAAGGGAAAAAAAAAAGAAGGAAAAAAACCCCACATAAATGGGTCAGAGAGAGTCTGGCTCTTCAGTAGCCTGAGTTGAATCCCTAGAAAACAATAGCTTCAGCCTGAAGACTAACATGGTGAATGAGGAATCCAAATACTTAATCAGGCTAAAGTACATTTATTGTGCATTCTAGTCAACTCCCCCTGCATTTTGGTTTGGTGTTTAACAGACCTTCCTTAGAAGAGAGGTTCAGGAACTGATCCACTTCATGGGGCTCCAATTTAATCTCTGGAAGAACTTTCTGGGTCAGTGGTTTCATCTAGAAAAGAGACATTAACAGCATGAAAACCCAAAGTACACATCTTAAAAATCTTAATAGAAGGACACAAGGATTACTTCTCCATAAATGGAGAGGTTTCCTCTCCTCCTGCTCTGCTACAGGCAAAGCTTTAACTTCTTTACAGAGTTTGCTAAACCAGGCTACAGAGAATACTGCCCTGACTACTCCCACTATGGCTTTTCTTACTACTATATTTAGCTAAATAAAAAGATTACGCCTCAGAGATGACATTTCAGACTGAAAGCTAGCAGGCAACCCACTCAAATTACTTCTCTTAGCAACAGAGCTGCTGCTAGGATCTGCCGGACTGCACAGTCTGCTTGAGCAGGGACAGAAACACCCCTGGGAGTGGGGGAAAGCCTGTTGAAGGCCATTGTCATCTGGGAGCAAGAGCACGGTGCCAGTCACTGAGCACCAGGTTGTCAGACCCAAGTTCATTTCACAGTGTGGAGGAGCAGGAAAATAACAGTCAGAGCTGACTGAAGTTGGGAAGACACCTGGTTTGCCCCACTGACAGGGGTGGGGCACCAGGCTGCCAAGCTGCTGCCCAGAGTCTGTCTGTGTGCTACAGTCCCAGGCTCAAGGAAGTCATTCTGGCACATCAGCATGTTAACTGCAGCTGAAATCTCTCTCAGTAACATGTATAAATAATCTATGCAATAGCAATGAGCCACCAGCTAGTCCCAGAACTCCTTTGCAAGTCACGGCATCCCAAGCTACAGCAGGACTGCGTACCGGGAACAGAATATTCAGACTAGAAGAGGATTACGGGAAACTTGTGTTTAATTTTTTTCAGTTTCTCATAAAATAATTTCTGTTGCATGTATTTCTGATCCATGTCCAAGTGGAAACATTTATTTTCAGCATTTACCAGTTCCATCCAGCCTGGACAGATATAGCAACCTTGGGACTGAGAACAGTCATGCCCCTTCCTCCACTGACTGGGGACCCTGGTGAGCTATTAGCTGCTGCAGTTCATTCTTCTTAACCCAACCACAGCCAAACTGAGTACTTTAGAATGCCCACTGGCTCCTCCAGCTGTGGCCAGAAAGGCATTACAAAGCTCCTCATGAGGCAGCAGCCTGAAATGTCAAAGCTTCACAGATCTGGCAAAAGTAACTTTGCAGGCAAACAGGGAAACTCTCCAGTCAATCCAAACAAGGAGTCTTGTTCTGATTAGGGGAAGGCTCAGCAGCACTAGAGCAAGTTATTATTAAAGACACTTAGCTTGTCACAGGCTTGACAGAGCAAATGGATTAGTGAGTTCAGGTGTAAAAGGTTCATCAGAAATTGTTTAAATATTTTCAGAAATCCAAGAGCCCCAGGCTTTGGGGCTAGCATAGAAGACAAAGTTGTGCATCTGACCATTAAGACCTGAAGATGCAGACAATGTGTTTTGAAACACAAGCTCTTACAGCAGTAGGGGGACACCAGCAAACACTAAAAGCCATTAAAGCAGACTGCAGTGTGCACTCTGAACTGCCAAGCTTTGGCACCAAGGAGGCTACACTGCTATGCAGTCTTAGGAGAACCTACAGCTAATTGTGCAGAGAGGAGAACAGGAAGTGTGCAAGTACCAGGGCATCTGTCTGTAGTTCAGGTCGTTCTCCCTCCAGTGATGTGGCCGTGACGGTGAGGCTGACGGAGGGAGCGAGGCCTGATGTCTCGCACAACCCTGGCTCAGTCTTTATTGATGCTGGAGTGAACTCTGTAGCCAGACACCATTCCTCATTTTCCAGGTCACCTGCCAGGGAAGGAAATTGGACACCACATGTTTAGGTCAGAGACAGAAAGACTACAAATGAAAATAATGTCATTCCTCCTCCAGAGAAGGGAAACAAACACAGAAGACATTTTAGTCTATCAACAAAACTCTGCCCTTGCTATTCAGCTCTCAGTCAAAGCAGACAACCATGCCGTTTCAGGGCTGTAACCTAATCCTAGCCCCAGGATACACAGAGGAGCAGCGAGGAAAGACTCAGAGCACTAATCACTGTACACTGCTGAAAGCTGCTAATGCACAGCAAAACAAGACCAAATAAGCCACTGGGTAAAGCAGCCAGGGAGCCATGTCCTCAACACACTAATGCCTGCTGACTCAGTTTTATTCCTCCTAGAGATAGCCTTTAGCCAGACTTCTTCTACTGTTTGCAATCATCAAATAGCTTAAATGGCAATATTATACTTTTAAGAACAAAGTACTTTCACATTATCACCTTCATTTTTCTCCCCTCAAGGATTCATTTAACAAGTGTAAAAGAGGATATAGGCTTTGGTGACTTCACAGGAGCACCAGTGACATGGTGATCATGCTAATTTCCTCCCCAAAGCCTCTGGGAAGTCACAGCAAAACAGGCATCACACAGTGGCAGAATTGTCCCCTAACTCCACTTACTGCAAGTTCACTAATCAGAAGAAAGTCATGAAACTTTTTTCTGGACAAAGCTGAAAGGTTGGCCTTGCACTGCCAAGAACTTGAAGAAGGTTGGCTTGGTAGGTTTAGCTCCCCATTTCCATTCATGAAGCAGCCACTGTTTGACTTGCTGAGAAGGGATTTACTTTCCCAGGTCTGACATATGACAGAGGATCAAGAATTCAAAAAGACTCAACCTTTACAACAATCCCACAAGGCTATTAACAACCTCTCTTAAAATTGTAAAATAACCAAATGCATTTTTGGCAGTTGCAATTCTGCCTTTAAAACCTTCCAATTCCAACTGCTAGAGTTTAGTTATGTAAGTTCTTTTCTCTTGCAGAAGAGAAAAGCTCTGCACCAGCAGCACTATATCTCAAAAGCATGTGGCACAGTTCTGTGAGAGTTGTGAGAGGCATGTCCATTAAATCAAGCAGCTGAAATCTGAAGGTAAACATACATAAAAGAAAACAGAGTGCTGATCTTTCTTTCAGCGCTTTCTACTGCCTTCATACAGATCATTTACCAAATATACAAAATCAGAACAGAGAGCAAGTACACAATGTAGGGCTAGTAAACAGAAACAGAGCTTTGAATTAACTGCACGCCGCATCAACGTCCTGGGAGGCAGCCACGGTGCTGTGGCTGTGCCACCAGTATTCTGCAAGGCTGACAAAAGGCCCTTCACATCTGAGTGCATCAAGCTGGTGAGATGTCAACAGAGTTCAGCTGCAAGCAGGTAACAAAAATAAGAGTGGGCTTACAGCCTCTGTGCTGCTGTGTGTCCTTGCTATTAAGACCACACACACACAGAGCACACAGGCACTGGGTAGATACTGGGTGACTGGAAGGAGGAAGAAGAATGTACATCTCCAGTGCTAGTAATTACTTTGTGGTGGGACCTAACCTCCACCACTGGCAAGGAAGGAGGTAATTTGAGTAAAGACACACCAAGGAATTAAAAACAAAAAATAAGTATCCTGTAATCAGAAGCCTCATGAACAGCAAGCTCATCTCTGCCAGAAGTAACTGTAGAGCAAGAGCTAAACACTGTATTTAAGTATCTGGAGAGCTTATTCCCAAAGCTTCCTGGAAAATGCAGAAATGCAAAAATAGAAGTATTTTTTGAAAAAAAAAATAAAAGGGTATCACTGTCTAAATATTAACTCAGGAGAAAGGACGTTGCTCTACGTCAACCATCCTTGAGTCTCTCTACTCACAAACATGAGAGCACAGCTCCCTCTCTGCTTGCTGTGTGTCCATCATTCAGGTAATACCTTTAAAGTGGTATCTGCCTGAGAATCCAGAATCCCTTGGTCAATGCAACTTTCAAATGCCTGTTTGGATAACTTCTGTCAAAACTTCCCCCACATCATGATGTGCAGAGCCTCCTCTTGCACCTCTGGGTCAAGCTACACCCATGGCAGCATCATCTTCTGTAATCTACTTTAAGCTCCCTTTGGGAGGGAAGGCTAGGGATAAAGGAGAGCTATCAGCGAAGCCAATAATTAGCCCTGAACTTTCCCAAATTTGTATCATCTTGCAAGAAGAGAAATCTAGCCATGGGTGACCAGAAAAACAGGGCATGTCCTCTAAGGCTTCACTTTATGATGTTTACCACCTCTAATCCCCAGGTTCATCACAAATATTCAGCAGCTCTAAGACAGCAAGATATGCTGGCCTTCAGCTAGTCATTTGACTCCTCTGGAAGCTGATTTTGCTGATTAACTTGACATCCCTGCCATCATCATTTAGATCTGCATAAACTGCTCAGAGTTATTCTAGGCTTTAAAACCAGTCTAACCAGTTTGTAGGGTTACAGATGGTTTCCAGCGACAGCAACACACTGTGTTTAACACTGAGATAACTCTGAAGAACTGCATCTGACACTTTTTTGACACTGCCTCTTATGATGCACAGTGACAGCTCTCATTCCAGATGAACAACCCTGTGAAAGAAAAGGACAGAGGACTGGTCAAATCCCACCTTGATAATCCTCTGTCCCCACTTTTTCCAAGGCCCTGTTGCACGCTCACTATCATAGTGTTGTGCGACAAGTTACTTTCTTTTGACATGTTCCAGCTTCCAAAGTCACCAACGATCTCTCCTCTGCTCCAAGAGAGCTGCAAAGACATTTCCCACTGCCCTTTCTACTCTTCCTGAGCACAGCAGATTGACATTATCTGAAAATCTTAGTTTACTCTTATAATTCTTCATTTATTCTTATAAGAGTTTATTCTTAGTTTATTCTTATTATAATACCTTATCATCTTAGTCTACTCTGCCAAGAACTGTACAAGCAGAGCAGTGGCAGCCCTTCTCCCAAAGCCCTTGAGAATACTGCACAAAACCAGAAAAATTCAGGCAAAGAGGAAAAATTGAGCAGGGTAATAGATTACTGGTCATACAGAGAGGTACAGCACATACTCCAAGACAAGAGTATTTCTGATACAGGGTTATGGAGAACTATGTGGGAGGTTTCATGGAATAATGAGAACAAGCAAGAAGGTACATGTGAAATACTGAAATGAAAGGACAACAGAGGCTGGCTCAAGGGACCCACTGGAGGAAAAGGGAGGGTCCAAGCAAGGCATGCTGTGGGAAGAAATTAGAGGTGTTTATATTTGACATGATCCAGGAAATACACATGAACTATTAAGGCAGAATCCAAAACAAGAGGCTGAGAAAATAATCTCCATGATGGTATGTATTCAAACAGATATGAATAAGGCAACACTGCATCCTCTAAGGTGAGGCAAAATACACTGCAAGTCATTCAGACAGAGAGAGAAGAAAGCCTCAACAAAAGATTTATCTATCCAAATGGCCAAGAAAACAGACATCCTAAATATTGTCACTTCGACTGTTAAAAATCTCCTCTCAGGCTTCAAAACACAGACTCCAAAGTCCACTGTTGAACAAGTGAACTGTCTGTCAGTTCCCTTCCCAGGTGAGGTTTCCTGCGAACCTCAGAACTCTACCATGCAATGGCTGTTTAGATGAGAATCATTTCCCCTTTACCTACCCTTTCATAAGTCCATGAATGCTAGGCATTTTGGCATGTGGAATATGTAATTTAAAGAGTCTACACAGTACTTACCAAAATCCCAGCTAACACTTCTATGTGCAATGCACTGGTAATTAAATTGCACATACAGATGATGTTAACTGAACATTCATGTTGCAAAGCACCCAGGTATTAAGAAATACTTATGAATGTTTAACTCAGTGTCCTTTTGCACATCACATACACATAAAAATAGGCATGTTTTAATAATGTGATGAAACAATTTCTCTACAGAACTCATGCCTTACCCAAAAAGCAGAATGCATGGCGCTCCAGTAATTGAGGAGATATTCCATGTTTTGTTATTCTCACTGTCTCACGCATAACCTCATCTCTCCTTTAACAAAATTCATATTTTGTTCCCACAGGGCTATTTAATCCCCTCCCAGGGAAATGCTCCATCAACCTGAATTCATTTCCACAATGGTCCTGAAAATTCAATTGAGACATGGAGAGATTAAGGCCAAAAAGTAACTAGGAATTTAAAATGGCCAACTGGAGACAACTGGAATTGAATTTTTCAGATGATTTAGCACTGTTATTATACTTGATCAAAATACAGTATGCATTGAGCTTTTGGGTTCAGCTGTGATCATCTACCACTGCTGCAAGTTAAACATCAGAGTTTCAAATCACACATCCAAAAACCCCATTCATCACAGCACCCCAGGGTTTGTGACACATGCATCTAAAATCTCCTGTATCCAAGCCTAAAATTACATTTCTCCAGAAAGCTTTTTTGTGCTTCTTCTGTCATCAAGCTTGTCCCACTTTTCCTGCAGTCTTATTTAGCATGCATCTTCCACTATTTTCTTTTTTTTTTTTTAAAGGCAGAAGCCTTACAAACCGCCAAAGTTAAGTTCAATCAGTGTATTGAGCTAAGTTCTCATTGATAGGAAAAACTTCAAACATGTCCTCTTCTTTCCCAGCTGTACTCATCATGAGTCCAGCTTGGTCCCAGGTATGATATGCAATGTGTTGTGAGATGCCATGTATGTGGGTGATAATGCAAGAGATGAAACTCCAAATGGGACGTAATTCCCTCGGTACTGTAGGTGTAAGCATTGCATGCTGTGCACATCTTCAGCAAGGTGTCCAAACAGACTCTTTCTGTCCTCTGTCTTTACTTCAGAGGTCCTAATCCTGTCCCAGGTTCCACCATCTGCAGTTAAGATGGGCAATGCTCATAAGATCTACTCAACATACCACAAGTGGACTTTTCACTCCCCTTCCTCCAGATCACTACAACCAAAAGGGAAAAGAT